GGAAAGCTCAACTTACTCTGCGGGTTCAGAATTATACAAGGCCTATGCCTGGGTTGTAGAATATCACTTAGCAATTGTGTTGCAAAATCTAAACACTTTTGGCGTTCTGCCTGTTGGAAAGGTAGTAATTCTGCAGACTTGCTAAACACAGTTTTCTGGACAAGTTGGAATTCCAGTTCATAATGTAATCCTTCTGGAAGGGATATTCTACCAGTAACTTAATTGTTAACAGGCCAGAAGCAATATTCCAGGTTATAGTAGGCATGTCTGTGAAAACATTAGTGCTAAACAGAGGTAAAAATAGTAGTAAAGAGTGAAACTGTTACTAGAGGAACCAAGAATGTCATCATGACTCCTAAATCCATTATATGCCAGCATCAAGTTCTAATTTCCCCATCTCCAGAAGGGTAGTGGAGATTGAAAAGGTTCAGAGAAGAACAGCGAGGATGATCAAATACAAGTAATGGCTTCCTTGCAGGGAATGATCTTTTAGGGTTAGAATTCTTTAATCTGAAAACGAGACAACTGAGGGAGAAATGTGATGGAGGTCTATGAAATGATGAGTGTCCTGAAGAGGTACTGATTCTTTGTTGTGAAAGTGTGTGTAATACCTGCTCTGTGATCTGTCTCTCTGATTTTGCAGGTGGTTGAAAAGCTGATCCGAGGTTTAGCAATGGAGGACAGCCGTAATATGTTTGCGCTCTTTGAACACAATCAGCAGGTGGACCGTGCTGTTGAGAGTCGGGTGATTGTGGCTGATATCTTGGCCAAGTTTGAGAGGTAGAAGAATGTTGCATAAAATCTTTAACTCCTAGTTGGATGTAACACTGGTTTAAGTGATAGTACAGTCAGGGAGTTTTATCCAAAGCAGCCACAGTGATTCAACTGTTCGCTCTGGTTTGAACTTCCCTTTGGTAAGGTTCAAGTGCTCTTTCTCACTGTGTGGAAAACCATGTTCACATCTATTTCGGTGACAAAGAAGCATTCTTCATCAGGCTCGTCAGGACAAAATTGGTAGTACCTTTATCAAAGAGTAATGGTTTACTAGCAGAGCTCAGGGAAGGTTTACTTAAGTCTGATAATGATCTTGTCAATTTACATCGTAATAGCTATATCAGAAGAGAGAGCAAAGATTTGGGCATAGAAATGCAGCACTAATTTCTTACTGTGGACTGTGATTTTGTGGCCAGACATACAAAGAAAGCAATAAATTGTGAAAGAAGCTGGCAGTGCCATTGTCTATTTTATATCTGTTCTAAAGACAAAAATAAAATTGTTCCAAATGGTGGCAAGGCTGATGCTTTTCAGAGTCACAAGATTACATGGAAACAGTATCTTGAAAATGGGGAATACTTAGTGTCCTGCCCCCAACTCTTGCATTTATCTAGAACCGTTGATCTAATTTTTGATCAAGTGTATCTGGTAAGAACTTTGAGTCCTTCTGAATCCAAATTTTGTGTGACTCAGAAGACAAAAATCAAAGTTATCAGAAAAGTCTGCTGCACTGAGATTATCCTGGTCAATCAGGTAGTTCTGTATGCTCTCTGTTTCAGAAATCCAGGGGTACCTTCACATTGTGAGTTGCACTGTGGACATCCCAGTACCGTGGTGCTTCTGGTTACTGGTTCTTTCCCCTCTCACTCTCTTCCCTATCTTACAGACTTGCTGGCTCTGAAGAAGAAGAGGAGGAAGGACAGTGGCAGCTGTATTTCAAGCTTTATTGCTTCTTGGATATTGAGAATGTTCCCAAAGATGGGGTGGAGTTTGCCTTCATGTTTGAGCAGGTAAGCTCTCTCTGGGAGAACGATTTGGTTTCCAGGGTGGCAGAAGCACACAAGAGTCTACAGAAAACTGGCTTACCTTTGTATTAGAAGTGGGAATGCTGGTTTGAAGAGAAGAATTTAGTGGGTTGGATTTTTGCCTGGAATCCACCAAGCAAATATACTGCAAAGTTCTCTAGGGAATAGGAATATTAGAACAAAAGCAAGAAAAATGAACAAGGGCTTCAAAAAAACCTGGAAAATCTAGCCATCTGCATATCAGCTTACAAGAACAGCACATCCTTGGGGTGTTACAGGAATTGACTAAAAAACCCTATCTTTTGGGCAATTTCTTTTGATTAACAGAGAGGCGCTAGAAGAGTACTACAGAAAAAGGTAAAGAGAATGTAGTTGACAATATTTATCTGCTGAGTAATCTTTTTTTAAGTCGCTATACTCCATAGCACAATGATGCTGGTTAGGCCAGAGATCACACTGGTATGAACTAACTTTGCAATTAGGGATGCAAAACTAAACTGACTGGAGTACTCAGCTGTGTGGTTCATCCCATCTTTCTTACTTCTAATGAGCACTTTGATCTTGCCTCAGAAAATTATAGCTGTTGAAAATTAATTAACACGTGTTAAAGGGGGTCAGCGTCATGAAGACTGAAACTCACTGACAGTCAAATGGATGGCATGTACATCACACAGACAGTGGTTCCCCAAGAGGGCTTTCTTGAAATGAAGATGAAGTATTGTTAACTACAGAATGTCTAGGAAATGGTCAGGAACAAGACATCACAGTACTCTGTGGAAACTCAGTTGTGCCAAAATCCCCGTTGACAAGGCTTTCAGTCTACACAGCTGTCACTAGCAGAGAGTGGTGGAAGAGAAGTAACAGTAGGAGAGTAGATGTTATCCAGACATTAGATGGATGTAGCAAAAAAAACCATAAATACATTTCACAGAAAAACAGGCAAAGGGAAGCAGGAAGATTGGGGGAGACATCAAGTGAAAGAGGAGGAGGTGGGAGGTGCTGGTGTGCAATGAGACTGAGGTTGAGAGTCTTGAGTTTATTACATCCGGCTCTCTGGTGTTGAATATAATCTCCACAGAGGAGCTGCAGCTGGTACAGCACAAAACAAATTGCCTCAATTCTGGTCTCTCCCACCTGTTCCAGACCCAAACAGTCGTCACTGTAGGACTTTCAGTACAGGATAGAGGCCCCTCAGGGATCTCTGTTCTGTCCAGGCTTGCAGGAAGAGGTGTTCCCCCCTACATCGACCAGTTGCAGACTTTGACTTCTTTATTATAACGTCTGCTCTGACCTCCTGAATGATGTCTTTCCTTCTGGGACTGGCCTTCCTGCTGGGATGGGCAGATGCCATAGGAATCTGTACATGGACCCAGCTGTGAACAAAGTGTGCTTCTGCTTTCTAATGAGTTTGAGGGACTTCTTGTTTGTTTGTAGGCTCATGAAAGCCTCATAGATGGTCACTTTCCTGCACCAGAGGACACTCTGCAGCGCCTAGCAGCTCTACGGCTGCAGTACCTTCATGGAGATTATTCTAAAATAAGTTGGACTCTGGATGGAATCTACCCAGTTAACAGACTAAAATCCAAAATACTGCACTCAACAAAGAGCAGCGGCACTACCAGTCACACTCTGGAGAGGAGACGGACCAGCTTCCTTGAAGGGACATTGAAACGTGGCTTCAAGACAGGCTCTGTAAAGAAGCAGAAGGTAGAAGAGGAGCAGATGATGGAGATGTGGGTAAAAGAAGAGCTTTCAGCTGCTCGGGCAAGCATAGCACAGAAATGGACCAAGCTGCAAGGACTCTCTCAGCATCAGGCCATGGTGAAATACATGTCCATTGTAAAGGAGTGGCCGGGTTACGGATCAACCCTGTTCGATGTTGAGGTGAGCGTTGTATAAACTCATGTAACTACTGCCAAGGAGAGGTATCAGTCTGGAGAACAGATAGAGCTGTGTGTGTTACATTGCTCAGCAGCAGAAGGGAATTTCTGGAACTGGCTGCCTTTTGCCTTAGTAAGCTTAGGGTAAGCCTGCAGTACCACATACCCAAAGAGGTGTGATGCAGAGAGCACAGAGCAAGCAAGCTGGTGCGTCCTGGTAAATGGAGGGAGACAATGGATGCCCACTTCATTAGAAGAGCAGTAGAATTTGGGAAATTTTTCTGGGTTTAAGAAAGTGATGGCTAGTGAAAGCAAAAGTAAAATGAAGCTCTATTGTCCTTACGGGCAAAAAGTGCAATCCTGTTCTGCAGCAGTACAACAGAAACTGCTCAGACCGGGTCACGCAGATCGCTGCCCTTAGCCTGCTAGAGTTCCAGTTCTGTCAGCTTTGTTGCTGCCTAGGTGGATTACCATGGGAAGTTGCTTGCACTTACTATATTATCTGTAAAATAATAAGTGGAATATTGACTTCCTAAATCACTTTAAAATCTGATGAGAGCTGTTAGGTATTACAGTTGTTTATTACTCACCTAGTATTTGACTCACAGCCATGTCACTTCTAAATCTTTGCAGCAGGAGTGCCTACAAGATTCCTTCTGCAGACATCCTATTTTTTCTATTGGGGTGAAGAGTTGAAATGTCCTATAAGAGTCAGAAATGGAGGGCTTTTCCTTGAATGATTTGATCCTCCGCTGCATTTATGCAAAATTTCGTGTTTCCCTTTCTGTAGTGCAAGGAGGGCGGATTTCCAAACGATCTTTGGCTTGGAGTCAGCACAGAGAACGTGTCTGTCTACAAACGAGGGGATCCTAAACCACTAGAAACGTTCCAGTACGAACACATTGTTTTCTTCGGAGCACCGCAGCCTAACACCTTCAAAATTACAGTGGATGAGAGAGAAATGTTCTTTGAAACATCCCAGGTACATGAAAGCACAAGACTTGTTATATGTGCAGTTTTACTAGCACTTCAGTAAAGCTCTAATTTCCATGGTCTAGACAAGTTTATATGTGAGAACTCTTGCTGAATGGACTGGACAGCCAAGGGAGAAGATGAAGGGAGCTTAAGCCTAAGGTGCCATGCTACCTCTTCTTGAATACATGGATAAACAGAAAAAAAACCCATGCTGGTTAGAAAGTGAAGGAGGTTGAATGTTCTTCCAATGCATTGGGAATTTCAAATTTTGGGTGTTCATGAGTGTGCTGGGTTTGTTTCATTACCTTCCAGTATATGAATGGGGAATTCACAAACTCAAAAAAAAAAAAAAAAAAGTTTAGTAGCATTAAAGTTGCTTTTCTTTGAGCTGCTAGCTTTTTAAGTGTCGCTACAACAGAGCGCAAACTTGTCAGGCATTTCTTTCCTTACTGTCGTGTTGACGTTTAGTGTTACATGCAAAATTTATAGTGCCATGACTTTGGACAAGGGGAACCTTTTCCTGCAAAATGTCTGGTATGCCTCAATGGAATTAGGTTTTTAATGTGCTTATCTTCTGTTATTGTGTTGTCTCTCTAGGTGGGTGAGATAATAAAGATCATGAAAGCATACATCAACATGATTGTGAAGAAACGCTGCAGCGTCAAATCGGCCACCAGTGTGGACAGTCGTGCTAGCATCTGGACTAGGTGATATGAATGCACTGCCACGGGAGAGAGGCAGTTGTTTTAATGATTGGTGTTTGCAACTTGCCAGCACAAGTGTAGCAAAGATGTTTTTTTAAGAACTCCACTTGACTGACTGTTTAAAAACTGAAGTGACATCTACAGTACCATAGGATTTGCACCTCTGCCCAAAGACATTAAACAGCAACAACCGTTGTTAAATATTAATGGCCCAAAACTTGTTTTCCCCCTTGCTTGTTTGATGAACAAAGTACCTTAAAGAAGCAACATCAGAAGCATCCTTCTTCTCCTGCCTGTCCTCTCTGCTGCTTTCACCATTACCTGTCATACTGGCAGAAAAATTCACAAGAATCATTTCTGCACTACAGGAGGCAAACTTAAGCTTCCGTATGAATTTCCAACATGCAAACAGCTGGGATCATGGGATCGCAGCATGGTCTGCTAAAAGAATATTTGTTTTTTATTTATTTTGCAAGCAACTCTAAAATATAACTCACTGTGGGTTTTTTCTTCAGGATATACTAATGATCTGATCTGGTCTTAAAAGAAAATGCCTTTGTATAATTGAAGCCAAGTGGTCCAACTAAGAGGTCCAGCCCTACGTGAGAGAGCATTAAACAAACAAACAAAACCCCCGAGGTGATTCCTTACCTTCCAATAGAAGTTCACAGGTACACGACTGTAAAAAGTGGCACTTTAAGTTAAAATTCTAAATACTCCAATGTAGGAGATCATCTTTGGGACTAGCACCACGGAAACAGATCATCAGGTGCCATTCTGGCTACATTCCAAGCAGCACCTGTTGCCTGAAAACGAAGGACTGCCTTTCACCTAGGCAGCCCGGGAGGTGAGATGGATTTAGTTGCGTTTCCAGAAAAGCTGTTCTTCACCAACGCCGGGTTTTAGATAGAGGTCAGGGTTTTTTGTGGTGAGCAGCCTGCCTGCGTTAAGTTCCTTCTTTCTCCGTATGGGATTTTAGGATGACTGGGATCCCTGGACTTTAGTTTTAAGTGAACTGTTTTCTACTGAGTGAATAGGTGCCTAGATAAATGGTTATAGGCAAGAATTTCACTTCTGTACTACTGCAAGCAGATGCTAAACCCTTCATCCTCCTCCAAATTCTAATTGGAACTGCTCCCGTCACTGAATCCCCAAATTCCCTTCCAGTGTCCCCTAGGTCCCTAGTCATCAGCAAAACTTGAAAACAATGCTGTTTTGCCAAAACAGCTGCTTCTTGGAGGTTTTTATAGCTACTTGCAATTAGAAGAAGCAGAATATTTTTTTTTCTTCTCAGTGAAAGATGACAGTCATCTTCAGTCTCTTGACTTCAGAAACTTGATTTCATTGTTTAAAACAATATTCAATATCAGTCATGCCATAAATTGGTTGCATTAGCAATCGAGAAACGTGGTGGCTAGCCATTTCCAATGACCCTTGCCTAGTCTCGGGATCCCAGAATGCAAAGGCCCATCCAGTTTCTTAATGAAACTGAAGAGCTGTATGTAACGTGGGCCTTATTCCACGGTTAGAATCAGATGTCTCCATTTCTGAAGAAGTGGCAGCTAAGGCCTGTTAGCTATGAAATTTCTATTTCATAGAAAAGAAAACTAGGAGTCAGTATGCAACAGGTTCTGTTCCAGTTCATCCTCCCATTGTGCCATGTCACTAATACTGTGTTGCAGAACACTCTCGCTTTGAGGTTGACAGTACAAGAAAAAACACAGCGTACGTAATCCGTGCTTTTCTCTCATTTCCACTGCACTGCAGCATGTGCAAACACTGTCCACTTGCCGCACAACCAGCCTAAGAGGATAGCCATTACCGTGTACCATATGTTCAACTGGAGTTTGCCTTAAATAGCTTTACTGAAGGATCCTACAGGCATCCCCTTTTTGTCACAAAAACTAAAAAGATGAGCAGGTCACAAGTGAGAGAGAACAGGAATGTAGAGGCAACCTGAGAAATAACACTTCGTATTGGTCCGCACACGGACTAGATCTCTGTATGTATCGGAATAGCCTTGATTATCCCTGTCCTAACTCTGCACTGTCTCTGTGTTCTGGCTCTTGGGTTGCTGCAGGCAGCTTGAACCCACTTGGGAATGTAACTCCCATTACTACTTGTAATTTTGCTCATTTCTATTACGGAATTCCTTCTGCTGTCTTTTTTAATTTGTAACTGGCTTTACAAGAGGAAAGTTTAATAAATTATTGGATTGCACAAGCTGTATTCACTGACAGATGTGTGCTCGTGTAAAGATGTTTACTCGGAGAACTAACAGAACTTGTAAGTGAAAAGTAGGCATCAACAGCATGAGGAGACAACAGCCCTTCCTCTCTGGAGCAAATTTTGCATTTGTGGCGAATTATAGGCAATAATTGGCCACTACAACGGGGAAAGTTTGTTTCCAGCTTCTGCCGCTCGCTCTGGGGCTGGGTCGCGCCTTTAGTCGGTGGGAGACGTCCCGCGCGAGTCCACGGGGCTGGTTCTGAGACGGTTACTGTGGTGAAAGCAGAGCAAGGAACGAATCGTCTCCAAAGTCCCAGTCTGCAGGATCAGCTCCATCCCTTCTCTTCAGCACCTCCGAAGTCACTAATAGCAGAAAATCGCTTCCAGCTCAAATAAGCTGCCAGCTGTGCTTCTCTTACAGCAGCATGACCCAGCATGGTGTTCACCAAGAGCATGGGTCACCGCAGTGGTAAATCTGGCTTGAGGACAGCTGCGCTGTCGGCAGCACAGCCAGACTCTCCTCTAGCAGTAAAAAGTTCCCTCAATGCATACACAGGTACGGAAAACAAGCAATGATGCGTAATCCCCATTACTATGCTCTCATACATTATCCCATGGTCTGATGCTCTCGAGAGCCTTGGGACCCTGGAGATAGGTCTATGCAATTTCATCTCCAGCTGTTCACAGATTTTCAGTTTCTCCATCCTTATCACCTTGCGTAGTCTTTCCAGGTCTTTATTTGAGGCTGGAACTGCCTCTGCTTACTTCAGCAGTTGCTTTTCTTTCCTCGGCTGTTACGCTCCTTTCTGTGTACTTCCAAAAGCAGGCCCTCTCTGCCTCCTTTCTGCTTGGGAAGCCTGAAGTCGCACATGGGCAGCTACCGCTCGCTTGGGTGGAGGCGGCTGCCAAAGCCAAACACAGGCTGCTCGGCCTCTACATCTCTCCTGAACAGCCCTCTCGTGACGAAACACCTGGGTCACATCAGGGTCTGGCGCGGCATCTCCCCCCTCGCTGCCGGCTGGGCTGCCAATAACCGAAGCCGAATTTTTTTTCTTGGTGGCACACACAGAGGCCAACCCCAGTCGCCACGGATTAAAGCGGGCGCTATCTAGCCCGTCTCACTCGTTCGCAGCCGTTGGATTTCAAACTCCGCTTGCTTCACCTAACACATCACTATCACGACAACAAACATGCACCACTGCAGGTCCAGCACAACAAGACAACATGCACGAATTCATTTATGACTCTGGTTGCAGCGAATAACCACCCAAGGCGCTGGCCGACTAATGGTGCTCTCCCACCCCCATGCTAATTCTGTCTTATCACTCAGTGTGACGTGCGGTCCCCGCTGGCCTCCAGCCCAGTATTTCTCTAATAGTTACTTCAAGTTTGCATGCTCTATTTTTTTTTTTTTTTTAATATGAAACAGTTTCATGCCAATTGGTGTTAGAGTTAGGCTTTGGAACAGGGTAAATTTATAATCAGCACCTACACAGTAATCATAAAATCAGTTATAAACAAAATCACAGCCCCTGGGACATTATATCACAAGCACACATACCTAATTATTAAACCAGTTTGACTGTAAACTGCAACTGTTTATTTACACCTTGTTCTAAAACACACAGCCGTGCCATATGTAGGCTGCATGTTGCATCATTACTCTGTGCATTGACTTCCAGAGGACACGCTCCCCTGGGGCATTTAAGCAAATCCCTCACACATGAATTCCAGTCCCCACTGTAAAATCTAAGCTCCTAAATCTGTGGATTGCAAATTTGCTAAGCGCTTGTCCACGTTTTATACCAGCGATTCCTAACGCTACAATTGGCTATACGCTTTGGCCCCGTGCCACCGTCGACAGAGAGGCGGTTGCTGAGAATGCGCTTGCGAGTAAAAAAGTCCCTTCTCTCCACGCGCCTGCGAAGCGCTGCGCTGCGAGCACGGCTGCGTGCCGGGCAGCCTGTTTGTTAAACCCCAGCGGGGAGGACGCCAGCACACAGCGTGCCCGGACTCTGCACCGGTGTTTAGGGCTGGATGCAGCCAGGTGCAAACGCGTTATGATGTTGGGTGATTCCTGGTTGTTGCCAGGCTTGCGCTACCCGCCGCTGCCCCACGGCTTGGGCAGCCAGGCTGGTGCAGAGCACAGCCGGCCGTGGGGAGCCCGGCTCCGGCTCCTAAGGCTGCACCCAGGGACCCGTCCGTGGCCTCCCACAGCCCCCAGGCGCTGCCCCCCAGCATAGCAGATGCCTCAGGCCTTCCCTGAAATGCTGTAATGTCTCAGGATTACCAACCCAAACGTGTCCCTTCTGTAAAACCAAGCACCAGAAAATCCCATGCAACTCTTAACAATAGAAACTCAGCTGGTTCTGTAAGGCGTGAGGCATTGGGCATGGTTTTTGCAAGGCCGGTCACGGAGCAGATGCGTTCATAGGAGCAGCTTACCTGTCTTGCTTACCCACCGCACCAAGCTGGGTGAGGGGGCACGCAGCTGTCCCCCGTTGTGCCTCGTCAGGGTGTGCCTGTGGGCAGAGCAGGATTTAAACCAGGAGCCTTCTCCTCCCAGCTGCCCTGGGAGGGCTGTGTCTTTGCTGGTAGCAAAGGCACGTGGAGGAAGGCCTGTGCTTAAGTGCTTCGAAGCAGAGCTCATCCTGCAAGGTGAGCCTGGCGCGGGGTATAAGGATGTTGAATCTGTGTAGTAGGAGAAGCCCTGGTTGCAGAAAGAGGGGAGATGCAGAGGGAGTCCCCGGGGCTGGAAGAGGGGAGGGCTGGCTGTTGCCTGCAGCAAGCTTCTTGTGGTGTTGTGAGTGCTTGGGCTGGGGTTGAGAAAGCCGCTCTCTCCCTGGCTGCTGGAGGTTTCTTGCTCGCAGAGGAGGGGGACGGACCCAGCCCTGCCGGGGCTGTGGTGCCCTGGCGTTGTGGGTTGTTCTGGCTGTCCGTGCTGGCTGTTGTGGCCCTTTCCAGCACCCTGTGCCGGTGCGGCGGGGCTGTTGGCAGCGCTCACCCCGTGCCGTTCAGGCCGGTGGCCGCTGCTGCTCTTTAGGAGGTG